CTATATTGATGGGCAAGTGAGATGACTAGAACCTTCTCTAAAGAAGACAGACAAATGGCTAACAAGCATATGAAAAAATGTTCATTGTGCCTAATTATCAGAGAAATGCAAATCTAAACCACCCTGAGATATCACCTAACCCCAGTGAGAATGGCCTACATCACAAAGATTCAAAGCTGCAGATGCTGGTGTGGATGCAGAGAGAAGGGAACACTTTTACACTGCTGGTGGGATTGTAAACTAATACAACGTTTTTTGAAGGAAGTATGGAGAACCTCAAAGAAGTCAAACTAGACCTCCCATTTGATCCTGCAATCCCATTACTGGGCATCTATCCAGAAGGGAAAAAATCATTTTACCATAAGGACATTTGCACTAGACTGTTTAGTGCAGCTCAGTTTACAATTGCCAAATTGTGGAAATAATCTAAATGCCCACCAATCCAGGAATGGATTAACAAACTGTAGCATATGTATACCATGGAATACTGTTCAGCCACTAAAAAGGATGGTGACTTTACATCTTTTGTATTAACTTGGATGGAGCTGAAATACATTCTTCTTAGTAAAGTATCACAAGAATGGAGAAGCAAGAATCCAGTGTACTCAATTCTGATATGAGGACAATTGATGCCAGTACCTGGTAGAGGGAAGGGAATGGGGAAGTAGAGAGAGGGAAGATGGGAGGGGGGTGTGGGGGTCACGATGTGTGACACACCTCTTGGGGGCAGGACACGATTAGTAGAGAGACTTCACCCAGCAAACACAAGCAGTATCACCTGGCTCATTGTACCTCAATGATTCTTCAACAATAAATTTTTAAAAAATGAAAAATCAAACAGAACAGATAAACATAATGCAAAAAAATAAGTTACCACCTCACCCCAACTTACTACTCCTGCTGTTCAGAGGCACATAAGGTTAATAAAACTGTGTGCCTTTCTAGAACTTTTATACATATGCAAGATAAAAACTAGATGTGATGGCGCCATAGTGTCCTTTTTCCTCTTCCTTTTAACAACAGAATCAGCTGAACTTTTACCAGACACATGCGGTAAAAGTGACACATGTCCCAGGCTTCTGAGGACTGGAGGGGGGCCATACAACTGAGTTCCTGCCCACAGAACAGGAACAGAAATGATATGTGTCCCATAAAAGGAAAGTGCTTTCCACCCATTTCTCTTTCCACCCTTCCTGGTGCACTGAAACGTGCTAGGGCACTCCACACTAGCTCTAAGCACAAGGAGGAAAGTCTACTCCAGCAGTGAGTCTGAAACTTTCACATGTCACAGAATCCACTGACAGTCTGGCGATGCTATGAACCCCTTCCCAGATAAATGTTTCTACATGTGTAAAATAAAGACAAAGGATTACCAGGGAAACTGTGTTAGAGTAATGCCTGTGCCTCCTCATTAATGCAATGAATAACAAATTCTGGCTGAGAATTATTAAATTTTAAAGTAGAGTGAGTGCATATAATATCTGGAGACATGTCCAACATGATATGAGATTTCTGCTGGCTACAAAGCTGTGGTTTCTGCTGACACAACTGAGCCTTGTTGCCTCCATTCACAATGGAAGGACACACTCAATTTCAATTAGAGGCCAATGAAGTAAAGATGGTTTTCCTCCCATCCAAATTCACAGATTCCCTGACTTCCCGCTAAATATGTCAGGTAAACACCTTGTTCTATAGGACGGAGGGGCAATAAGAGAAGGAGCCTGGGTCCCTGGATAAGTTCATGGGAAAAGCTGCTCCTCTCCTCAGACCACCTGCTCGTGTCTGGGCTGTCAGGTGTCAGGCACAGAACTGCTCCCACCATTGTGCTTTAGGGTCTCTCTATTACCCCACATATACTGTTAAATAATCAGATGGGATTGCACTGCACACACAGACAGGCTTTTATGTTGGAGTCTCTGAAAAGAAGCATATGCAGCATCCTTTTCTTATTGGACTTGGAGTGATACAAGGTCTGAATATACTTAAACCATCCTGGGCCCACTGAGAAGGACCATGCTCTAGAAAATCTCTTGTTACTTAAGTCATTTTCATGGATTTCTACCACCTGCCAGAAAAAGAATCCTAGCTTACATTCAGGCTTACTGTACAAAAATTCCATAATTAAGACAATACGAGAGAGAAAATTAAAAACAGCTGAGCGCAGTGGTTCACACCTGCAATCCCAGCACTCTGGGAGACTCAGGCGGGTGGACTGCCTGAGCTCAGGAGTTTGAGACCAGCCTGAGCAAGAGTGAGACCCTGACTCTAAAAATAGCTGGATATTTTGGTAGGTGCCAGTAGTTCCAGCTACTCGGGAGGCTGAGGCAAGAGAATCAGTTGAGCCCAAGAATTTGAGGTTGCTGTGAGCTATAATGTCACAGCACTCTACCCAAGAGTGACTGAGACTCTGTCACAAAAAAAAAAAATAAAAATAAAAATAAAACCATCACTGATGTTCCTACTACCATGTAGACTAGAGGCAACCACTGGCCATCTAGAATCTGCCAGCCAGAATCTGCATGCTAGAGGTTATTAGGGTGAACTCTTGGGACTTCCACACCTGTGGGGAGTGAGAAACACACATGGGGCAGAGGGAGAAATTGGGCTGCAAGTGATGTAATCACACCAAATGTCCAGCTGGCACCATCGGGGTTCTGACCCTGGGAAGACCCTTCACAGTTGCCCTACCTCGAGGCAGGAAGCTTGCTCTCCATACTGCCCTTCCTACCCACTCTGCCCCCCAACAACACACACACAAACTGGTCCTATTGGGTAGAGGCTGCCCTTGGGGGTGGGCAGGACTCTGGGTAAAGCCCTCAGGTTCAGTCCAGAGCAATCTCTGCGGTTGGGTCCTGGCTTCACGCTGTTGGTGCTCACATATCCGGCAGTTGGGACATGAGGCCCCGCACTACGTCTGCCTGTCTCCTTTTAGTCTATTTTATTCACATGTTTTTTTTTCTTTTCTTTAAAAATGTGGTCATACTTAAAGATTATTTTATATATTATTATATTTTTTAGCTTACCATTACAATCTAAGCATTTTCCAATCATTAAATACTCTTCAAACGAATTATAAACATAAATACAGATTTCTTTTAGAGATGCTGTAAAGTTTTTGAACATTTTCTTTTTTTTTTTTGGCTGTGGCTGGGTTTGAACCCACCACCTCCAGCATATGAGGCCAGTGCCCTACTCCTTTGAGCCACAGGTGCTGCCCTAAACATTTTCTTATTATTGAACATTGAGAATACTGTGAATATTTTTTAATCTTCATCCATAAATTTTTGTTTCCATCTCTGATTAGTTTCTTAGGATTCTAGGTATAGAATTAAAAGGTCAAAGTATAAGGACAACTTTAGAATTCTTGCCAAATTGTCCTTTCAAATTTCATGTTAATTTATGTTCTAACCAGCCCTACAAGTGCCTCATTAAAGATGAAAATTTCTATATTTTAATTCTTGCCAACTGACCAAAAATGTTATCTCAGATTTGTTTTGGTTTCCTGCTTTTGCTTTCCCTGACTAGTGATAAGGCAGGAGATTTGTAAATATCCAGAGACTTTTTTTCTTTATATGTAAACAGTCTGCCATGCTTTTTGTTAGTTTTTCTATTTGGGTATTAAGAGATTTTCTTATTGATTTATTAAATCCTCAATAATACATATGTTAAATATACCAACATTTTCTCTGTCTAATTTGCTTAAAAATCCTCTTGTTAATTAGTTACATTTTAATTAAATTTGGGTGGTTCAACAAAGATTTTTTTTTTCCTGAGACAGAGTACTGTGGCATCATCACAGCAACCTCAAACTGTGGCTCAGCCTCAAACCGGGCTCAAGTGATCCTCCTGCCTCAACCAACTAAATAGCTGGAACTGCAGGTGTGTGCCACCACGCCCAACTAATTTTTCTATTTTTAGTAGAGATGGGGCCTAACTCCTTTCAGGCTGGTCTCCAACTCCAGAGCTCAAGAGATCCTCTAGTCTTGGCCTCCCAGAATGCTAAAATTACAGGCATAAGCCACTGCACCTGGCCCCTAAAAACTTTTTATAGGAAAAAAAAACCTTTATTTTTATCCTTTCATGTTTTATTAAAAACTTGTCCATTCTGAGATATGATAAAGATCAATTTCCATTCACATTCCTCATGTAGCATTCATCCCTACTTCCTCAGGAACGCTTCCTGGGTCAAAGTTGAATCTCCCATGTCACACTCTCTTAGTGCCACACGTCATCACTGGTTACTCCTACCACAGCTGCAGTGAGTGTTTATAAGTCTGGAAAAGGCAGGGCCCATGTCTGTTGTTCCTTGCACGTCCAGAACTTGGCACAGAACCTAGCACCAAAAGTATAAATTCTAATTTTTTTATGTTTTCAATACTTACATTTAACTCTTTAATTACTAGGAAATCTACTTTACTGTAGAATATGAGAAAGGTTTTATCTTTATTCTGTCCCACCACTTCCTTCGCCGTTGTTGTGCCACATACTCTGTCACGTATGTCTGTGTACACACTCACACATACCGCACAGACTGGGTGGCTGGTGGGACTCTTTCTTGTGTTACCATGTCCTACCCACAGAATCTCTGGACATGGCATTGTTTTGAGCTGTGTGAGGCTATCTTGTGTTTTAATAACTGACAGTGCAAATCCCTTCTCAGCATTACTCTTTCCCTAAATGTATTCATTCAAATCACTTGTTCATATCTACTAATAAAGGACAATCTTTAAAATGATTACTCTCTCTCTCGCCTCCCTCTGCCTTCCTTCTCTCTCTCTCTCCTGTCTTCCCCCTCACTCTTCTCTACTCTCTCTCTCTTCTCTTCCCCACTCTCTCCCTATCTCTCTCCCCTCTTTTCTCTCCTCCTCGGTGCTGCTCTGCAGCCTCCCTTCCCCCACCAATAAAGACCTTTCATACAAAAAAATAAATAAATAAAATAAAATAAATAAAATGATTAATTCCTTTCTCCTTTTCAGTGTCATGAATGTGTGTCGACTTACTTGAGCAGTCCAGCCCGATGGAAGACGTAGAGGTCCTGCTCGAGGCTGCAGTTGTTGAAGGGGACCATCCTCATGAAGTTCTGGATGAGGACAAACTCAGGGGTGAGATGGGGCAGAGAGATGATGCAGAAGTTCTTGTTCTGACATCATTGGAAACCAGGATACAGGAAAAGAAAAAAAAATCATTTATCAATAAACTAAGTCCTGCTTTAAAAACCCACTAAGGAAAATAGAAGTAAAATGCATTGATTAAGGGAGGTATACTCAAATTAAACTTTCCTGTAATTTGGAAGGTCAGCACAAAAGATTCTAGGAGCTAAGCAGCTATAAGAACATGAAGAAAATAATCTGGGAGTCTGAAGCCTAAATAAACGAATCCCATAAACAAACGTACTCATCAGCATAGCTCTCTTGTGGAAGTCGATTTTTAACCTAATACCATTTGTATTTGCGAATTCACTTGCATCACGGAGTAAAGGAGGCAGCAGGGATGTCCCAGCAAAGTCCCTGAGCTTACTGAGTGGCCTTACATCTCTCATCCTCTGTGAGATGAGACGTGGTACTCCAGGCCTTGGCTATAAAAGCCTGTGATTATACATAAATGTGTGTGTATTTTATAATGACATGGACCCACTTGGGTGAAGAGACTTAAGATCACATCAAACTCAGGAAGTGGCTTTAGCTAGCAGATGCAGGAGGGTCTGTGTACCCTGATGGGTGCCACTCACTTTCTATGCTAGATGTGTCCTGTACCATATCTGGCCACTGAGGATTTGGAATGTGGCTGGCCAGATGGAACAACTGCATTTTTTATTTTGCTTAATTTAAATTCACTTAAATTTAAAAACGGATATGTAATTCCATTATTAGAAAAGTTATATGTGTATTTACCTTATGTGACTCTATGTATCCAACTTGACTATAAGAATCTACTTATCCAACTATAAATTTTAGGAATCAAGTATTTCCGATGAAAATTTACTACTTGTATTGAGATGTGCAATAATTGTAAAATACACACTGGATTTCAAAGACTTAGTATGAGAAAAAGAATAATTTTTCATATTGATTACATGTTGAAATGATTAAATCTGTGACATACTCAGCCTGGAGCACTCAGAACGGTGGAGTGGCTCACACTCCTTGTCTGAGGACAGTGCTGCTCTGGCCATCTGAGCTCTGGGAAGCCACTTGATCCTCTGCCAGGTCTCTGCAGAAGCAGTCTGTTCCTCCCAGAGCTAATTTGTCCCTTTGGGATCTGGCCTCCCCCTGAACCCTGTGAAGGTATTACCTGTGCTAATCCCAAGCCCTGGGGACATCTGTACAACCCCAAGGAGTGAATCATTGTTTGACTTTATCTTCCTTTTTTCTAGCAAAATAACAGGGCTCCTTTTGGGGAAATTTAGAGTCAAGTTACTGATACTCAAACTGAAAATAAGGATGGGTGCCAAGTGTGGGTGGGCTTCCTCTGGGAGAGAAAGACTAACTATAATGAGTTGCTTCAACTTGAATTTGAAAAATCAAGGATAAAGTAATTAAGGTATTTTGTTGTTGTCTCCTTATATCCCCAAGTCAAATAGTATTGAAATGTACAGGTCTTTTGCCTTTTACAAAGCTAAAGATTTGCCTTTCCATTCACTTTAAAACAGGAAAGAGTTAAACTTATTGACGTTTCTTTGAGGAATCTTTGAGAGAAGTCAGTTTGTAAATGTGATCTACATCGTTAGATGGGCTTTGAAAATGCCTTAAAAATTACCATGGAAAGCACATTGCTGATTGCAAAGCTTCATTGTACTTTAAAAAAATGAGGAAATAAAACCTAAATGACACTGTGTTTAGGCACAATAATTAAGCCATATTTGCTTTTATCTCGAGAAAAATTATTAAGGAAAAATAAAGCAATATTTATTTTCTGCTCAATTCAAGTTTGCTTGAAATTATCCAATTGAAGAGTACAATTGTTGGCTTAACTGACAGGCCAGTCATGAAAAAAAGTATTTGAAAAAACCCATTTCTCTCTCAATTATCTTTTTTCCCTGCTTTCCTCCCTTTAATGAAGTGACATCCCCAGACAATGAAACAAGAAGCAGGGAAGAAGCCAGGGGCACCTTGACATGGACTGTCCTGTTCCCACTGGGATGTGGCCATCAGGCCCCTTCACCAACGTGGGTTGTGCCCATCCTACAAGCCGGGCCTGCAGTCAGGCCTGAGCAACCAGTAGGGAACCAGACAATTAAATAGATGAATGCCAACCAGATAATTAACCACAGTTCTCACTTTCCCATCCCCAGAAAAGCAGTGTGATAGCTTCAGACTACTTTGAGCTAACATGAGCTACAAAGTAATGTAACAGTCTCAGCCACTTCAGTGGCATTTCTGACATTTTCATGTGCTACTGTGAGTGATTTGATTCTAATAAAATGCTGGTAAACCTATCTCTGAAAGAAATTATGCATTTAAAGAAAACTGCTAAAATAGTGTGATTGAAGATTGATTGAAAACGACAATACTGGCGGCACCTGTAGCTCAGTGGTTATGGTGCCAGCCACATATGCCCAGGCTAGCAGGTTTGAACCCAGCCCGGGCCAGCTAAACAACAATGACAACTGCAACAAAAAATAGCCAGTTGTTGTGGTGGGCACCTGTAGTCCCAGCTACTTGGGAGGCTGAGGCAAGAGAATTGCTTAAGCACAAGAGTTGGAGGTTGCTGTGAGCTGTGATGCCACAGCACTCTAATCAAGGTGACATAGTGAGGCTCTGTCTCAGAATAAAGAAGGAAGGAAGGAAAGAAATAAATAAAGAAAATGACAATGTTGTCCATTTTTAAGAGTTGGTGACATGCCACTCAATCCTCCTCTCAGAACATAGAAGCAGTTTAGACCTCAACATCAGAACATTTTCAATGGATGACGAACATGGCATTTAATTTTTCTCCAGATTCTCCAACTTAACCAGTCACTGAAAATTCAGCATATACTTACAGGAAAAAGACTGAAGACAAAATTCATAAAATCCAGTGACCTGTAAACAAGACAGCACTGTCACAGACTTTAAGCAAATGCCACATCCACAGGTATTTACAGAGATTTGCGGCTCTTTTCCCCTCACGCTGTGACTGCCAACCACTACTCAGAATTTGGGTCTAGCTGAACAATAATTGGTTGCCTAAGTCATTAGCTTCACTAGTCAGTCATAAAGTATTTTGCAGAACTAAAGGCACTATCACAGCAATTAGCAATCTCTGTGCATTTGAAAGCTAAAATAAAAGATGGTCATTCTGTGGACAAGATTCTTCCCTGTGTTTTGGAAGCGTTGAGGGGAGTGGGAGAGATATCACAGGCTACTCTGATCTTTCCTCTCTTATATGTGGAAGAGTTTCTGACCTGCTACAGATGTCTTGTACATTCACAGGCAGACCACATGGGTTATTGAATTTCTGCTTGAAAATCCAAAGATTACATTCTGAGCACAATCATGTCTACATGCACAGGGAAAATAAATACTAAACAAGAAGTATAGAAGGCTTTTACCAGTTTTTAGATTTCTTCCATATAATGTGAATTAAAAAATTTTCCTTTTCAACTCTCCAGATCACTACAGAAACTTGAAGACAAAAAAGATAAAAGTAACAAATGGTTCTAGAGGGGCTGGGAGATTGGGAATGTGTTCATGAATACATTATCTAAAAAGGAGATTCCCAGACTCCTCTTGGTCGTCGAGAAGATACTCAGAACCTTCTGCCCTATCAAAATGCACCAATCTTCTTCTCTGAGGTGGTTTTGTGGACAGATGGTGGAGTAGGTGGGTGTGCTGACAGGATGTGTGATCTTGGCACTGAGGGCAGGGGTCCACACCCAGACTACGAGGACAGCCGATGCTGAACGCACCTGTGTTCTCAGGGAAGTGGGGAGATGGAGAGGTCTGGGGACACCGGGCTCTGCCTGGTGCCATGACTCCCCCTTGTTGCTGCCTGGGTTGTTTCCGTGTGTTCCACTATCCCCCTCTCTGATCCTGCCTTTGGGTGAGGCTCCAGCTGCAGACTTAGGGTAGGTAGAGCATGAGGCAAGGGACAGAGCCCATTCCCTTGTGGGCTCCACCACACACAGGCTCAGAAGCAAATGCAGTCCAGATGGGCCTCATGGGACTTTGCTGAAAAGCCAGGCCCAACCCAGGCCCAACCCAGGATGTGCTCCTAGTGAATTTTCATACATATCTAAGACTGTCAGTGGTCTTGGCCCCAGAATTGGAATGCTCCTCTGAGAATGGGACCAAAAGCAAGGAGCCAGGGCAAAGAGGTAGAGACAGAAACCTGGTCCTTGGTTTGGCTGCCTGAGTCCTGCATCCAGCCATATTTAAAACACTACTACCACTGGGCTTGTCCTTACTTACATGTGGCAACTATTCCATTTTTTTCAAAGCCAGTTTGGCCAGATTTTCTGTTACTTGCAACCAAAAGACTCTAAATGAGCAGTAACCCACATCCACAGTCTCCCAGAAATCCAAACATAAGGGTATGGGAGCTGTGTGTGATCCTGTAAGTGGTAACTTTCCAGATCCCAACTGCTTTGTAGTGAGCCAGGCCTGGGCACCTTTCTTGCCCACTTCTGTGGGCCTCACCCAAATTTTACGGACTAGAATTTCTGGGTGGAGCTCAGGAACCTGTGTTTTTAAAAAAATTCCCCAGGAGATTAGGATGTGGATACAGGTTTGGAAAATGTCGGGCCACCAACGCCACGGGGAGTTCTCACTGTCCACACTTGCCTTGCCTCATATCTCTCATCAATACAGAACAGCTGAATGCAGAAAGCGGCCGAGGCTCCCTTATAGATGGGGCGGAAGTGGCGGGGCTCTTCCAGCAGCGAGGTGGATGTTGAGGCCCTACTGCTGCCACCGTGACCTGTGGGGATGTGTCTGAGTTTTTCCATGTCCTAGAACAAGGAGAGAGGAGAAACCATGGGAACCCTTTCACTCCTGCAGCTTAGTGCTGGCAGCTGCACCATCTCCACCTGACAGTGTCACTACGACAGGTGTGACTGTCTCCCCTGATGCAATCACACTGAGCCTGGTTTGAAGGAGATGTTCTTAATGAGATATTCAAAATTTATATAATGATTAAAATGAGATCTCACATGAAGGTCAGAAAACAAATGGTTTCAGTTGGCATAATTTAACCACAAGCCTGAGACTAGAGATTGGTAGAGACTGGAGCATGGTATGTTTCCAATTGTGTACTTTGTTTTTATTCACTTGGTCTCCTAATTTTTTCACATGCTTCACCAGATTTTCCACATGTTGGTCAATGTGACTTTCTAAGCAATCAGGCATTCGAAACGGCACGAGTGACTTGAACCTCATGTTTTCTGCCTCTGCTCTAACCCAGACTGTGGCTCTGCTTTTCCGTCTGCTTTCTTGGTTGGCAGCTCCTGTTTCTTACGCTCCAGATCTTCTCCTGGTCTTTGATGTTTAGGCCCTTCTATCACTAGAGCACATTTCTAGCTCCCTAAAACGATGGTACTTGGGAGGCAAAACTCCATAGCCACTGGCTAACTAGGGCATTTTCACAGGTAGCCATCCCCAGAGATGGCCTCTGAAGGCCTTTTCTTTGGACCTGTCAGTTTTGAGGGATTATGTTTTCCAAATCTCCTCCATGAGGAACTGTGGTAGACGGGACAGTGGCCTGTGAGAGTGTACCTGTCCTAACTCTCAGAACCTGTACTAATATGTTGTCTTACAGAACAGAAGGACTCTGCAGATGTCATTACATTATGGATTTGGATACGACACCTGGGTTCTCCAGCTGGGCCGTGTGGTGATCAGGGTCCTTACGAGCAGGAAGCGGCCAGAGAGGGAGATGCGGCACTGCCGGCTCTGACCATGGAGGGAGGCCGCAGGCCGGGAGTGCCGGTGGCTTCCAGAAGCTCCCCGGGTCCTCTGGGGACAGAGGTCCCTGTTTTCACGTGAATCTTAGCACACTGAAACCTGCTTTGGACGTTTGGCCTCCAGAACTGTCGATAATACATTTGTGTTGTTTTTAAGCCCCCAAGTTTGTGGTAACATGACAGCAGAAGTAGAAAACAAATCGCAGACTGGCTTCTGGGATTCAGAGAACGGGCTGGAGGAGGGTCCGTTTGCCATGGAGAATTCCACTCACTCGTCTGTTCTCCGTTCTTCACCATCAGTCTGCCTCACGCAGTGCAGGCTGAGACAACATGTGGAACTGCCTCTGTCCAATTTCTCCAGACAATGGTTATCAGTCCTCTCCCTGGGGGTGTGGGTGCCAAGCTAAGTGGAGTCAGCAGAGCACCCAGTGTTTCGTCACTGCACCCCAGCCTGCCGAACACACCCCTCCTCTTGAGCCCCGTCCTCACTCCACCTTCTCTAAGACCTCCAGCCATCAGCCTGGGAAGTCACGCACTGTCCCACCTCCCCTCTCCCTGAGCAGCTGGGGCCTCGCCTTCCTCACTGAGCTAAGCCAGGGTAAACGCCTCTATCGATTGTTTCAGGCCCGATATTTTTAAAGTGCTCATCTTCCAATATCTACTCTTTGTCTTGTCTTGTGCCCTTTTTATTCCTTTGCTGTCATTTTAGTGGTTCTTTCCTGGAAAGACGAGGAGATAAAAATGAGATATTGATCCACCTTGTTGACCCAGATGTCCTCCGGGGCTCCCATAGGCGGGATGCAGGGTAGGGGCGTCCTGTCCCTCCCTCCACTTCCTTGTCTGGCCGCCCTTTAGGAAAATATCAGAGAGAAAACTGCCACCTCTGCTGCGTGTCCCCCCGCCCCGTCCCCAGGGCATGAGGAGTGGCCTGTCGGTCAGGGGGTCTCCTCAGGTGGCTCCCCCCAGGAGCAAACCCCGAGCTAAGGCTCTGAGACTGAATAGCTGACTCAAGGAATAAAACTAGGAAATTCTGTGATGGGAGTGGGAGGTGAGGCAGGCAGGGATGGCCATGAACGCAGGGTGCTTTAAGGTATAGGTTACCACTGTGAACTCAAGCCCCCGAGATCTCTGGGGGACAGGAGGATACGCTGCAGAGCGCCCCCCAAACAGGTGAAGAGCTGGGGTGTGGATTCACTCATTGGCTGATGGCTGCTCCCCAAAAGAGCCTGACCAGCTGCAAGCAAAGCCCTGGGAAGAGGCCAGGCACTTGCAGTCCTCGTCCGCAGGGTGCTCAGGAAGGCTAAGTGCAAAGGACTGCGGTGGGGGTCCAACAGCATCCTCTAACTGAGGTGCAAAGAACGGGCCCTGCAGTGTTTCCTTCTGGCAGCACATCCCACCCCAGGCTGCTGGCTTTCTCCTGCCTTCCATGCCCTTAGTCTGGGAGAGGGAGACACTCTGCCCCAAGAGTGAGGTCTGCCTGCAAGGAAGTGTGGACATTTAATTCAGTGGAGAGAAATGGGAAGTCCTTTTGTGTTCCAGATTTCTGTCGTAGAGAACTCTGTTCTCGAGTTCAGTGTCAGCCACGAGGAAGGGGTATAGGGCACTTCTATCACCAGCTGACCTCTGGGTAGACCCCCCCCACTGGTCAGAATCTGGCGAGAAGAGGACTGTGGATCTGGCCCTCTGGCAGAATTCCGATGCCTGGGATGAGGGCTCAGTGAACCTGGCCCAGGGCCTCCATGCATGTGGCTAGCCCTGCACCCTGTTTCCTCCTCAGGGACTCCCTGGGCTTCTCAGGCCAACTCTGGCTGGTGGGTCAGCCCAGCACAGAGGCCTTTGGGGTCTCAGTGAGGAGGGAAATGTCTGACTGTGCCAGCCTTCCACTCAAAAGCCTACACTGCCTTCCTCTGCTCCTGAGGAAAAGTTTGACATCCTGAGCAGGATCCATAGGGTCCACAGAGCCCTGCCAGTCTCTTCCTGAATCCTCAGATTCTCAGTGGGAAAGGGAAGGGACATTCCAACAGAACGGACAAAGCTGCTTTGACTTCTGACTGCAGAGCACTCAGAAACGAACGTGCCAACTGAGGCGTGAGGCGAGCACATGCACCCCCAAGATGCACGGCTGCTGGACGGTCCTCGGTTTCTTACTAATCAAAATAATTCACCCAAGTTGGTTTTGGTTTCAATATTCATATTTATATTTATAAAAAGATATGCAAACCCAAGTTAATATGAAATATTAAAAGCTTTGTCATATCAGTAAACATTTAATAATCCTTTATTTTAAAGTGACCAGATTTTAACATTGGTAAAGCGGGACACCATTGACGGGGTGTGTGTGTGTGTGTGTGTGTGTGTGTGTCTTAATTAAAAATTTGGTCTATATGAAGCAACAAAAACTTTCATAGAATGCAAAAATAGTATTGTAATATATATTTTTTAATTTCAATGTAAGTACAATTTACAAATTAATACATTTAAAACATCATATATAGTATTATTTTATTCTTTGGCATATTTCTCATCGAATTCTAACAACTGATCAACAATGTGAACTTTGATAAGCAGTTCTCAATGATCAGTTCTCAACAATTATTTGTTATTATTAAAGTTTAACATTATAAAATTCACAAAAATAATATAAAACTCATATCCTGGTGAAATAGCCACATGGCAGCTGAAAACCCTATATTCCCTTCCTGTTGTCCTGCCATTCCCTAGCTTGTCATGCATTCTTTCCAAAAATCAGGACTTTTTTAAAATGCCAAGGTACACAGGACAAATTGTTAAAAATTGGGACTGTCCCACCAAAAGCAGGACATCTGGTCACCTTACTTTATTTGTGTGGTACAACTCAAAACACAGTTTGATGCGTTATCTGATGCCACAGTGTGTGCACTGACACCACATTTCACTTTGTTTTTTATGTTTTGTGCAAACCACACATCTGTGGGCCTTCTGCTGTATTCCTGTTGGACTGCTGTGCTTTCAGGGAAAATGCCTTTCCGTGAGATGGAGCAGTTATCACAAACAGCTCTTCCTCCAACATCATACAATGTGATTACACAAATGTTCTGAGATGAGCTGCTGAAAACTTCTAAAATTGATGAATGAATATTGGCTTTTATTCCTGATATATTAGCATCAAAATCTATATTTTTGGATGTTTTTCTTCATTGAAGTTGCTGAGGATTGACTTCTTGTAAATTTGAAATAGACTTTACACTTTGATTTTCCAAATCAGATTCTGAAGTACTTGATAGTTTGTTTCTTGTGAGAAGGATTTTTGAAGCTACCTCTATATCCAAATTCTCCCAACCATGAATGAGTCTTCTGAACTTACTGACACTTTAAATTTATTGTACTCCATGTTATGTGTACTCCCACAGGAATCCACTATTTGCACAAATTAATTCAGGCATAACCATGAAAATTACTGAGAACAAAGCATATGATGCTTACAGACTCAACTCAGGTAACACAACAGTAACGTGGCGCCCAGTTTTTTTGGTAAAATGAACAATGTCTACTTGCATTGGTTGTACCAAGGGAACATCCTGTATTAAACCCCTGGAGGCAGCATTGGCAGTCAAAAGGTTAACAAAGGACCACCTGCAAAGGTGTGGGTGGGGTGAAGGGATGGTGAAGTGCCCAGGGACAGCCACCACCCCCTGGCCTGAGCTGTCAGGAGGGAGCAGTTGCTGAGCCCTGAGGTGCACAGGAATGGAGTGTGCACCACGCAGGTATGGAGACGGCTGCACCTGTGCATAGGATGTGGAGAAAACACTCGCCAATGTTTTGCCTCTCCAAAATGTTTTCTGTTCGGGCAACGAGAAGTGAAAAACTATTCACTATAGTCTAAGCTGTACAGAAGGTTCAGAATAAAGGAATAATCACGGTGGGGGAAGAGTCAGGTGAGGATTTACGGAAGGCATGAACTGGTAGAGAGAGACAGACAGGCCTGGAAGAGAGCGTGGGTACCCGAGGACTCGGAGGTGGAAAGGGGTGAAGCATGGGGGGCCACAGGCCCTACCTCCAGGTCGTGGGCATTTCCATTTTGGCCTGCTGATGAAGCTTCCTCAGATGCAGCTTCTCCTATGACTTTTTCCTAGAAATGGCAACAACAAGACACAAAAATTAATTGACACCTACTGTGGCCTACTGCCCGTGCTCCGGAGCAAGCTCCCAAATTTCAAACCCTAGCTCCACTGCTTGCTGGTGACGTGGCACTGGGAAAGAGATGTAGCACCAGTGTCCTCATCTCTGGAAAGGGGAGGAGAACAGCACCTACTTTCTCTATTTCACAAGGTTGTTATGAGGGTAAAATAAGCAGTCTGTCAGGTAGATGGATGCTTAGCACAGGATAGGTGCCCTCTAATTCTCTAAATATTAGTTATTACTTCATTATTCTTATTCTTCTATTTAACTTGAAAGCTGTGCTAATGTTTTTAGTTAAAGAGGTAGAATTTTTTTGTTTTTTTGAGACAGAGTCTCACTTGGTCACCCTTGGTAGAGTGCTGTAGCATCACAGCTCACAGCAACCTCAAACTCTTGGGCTTTTGAGAGATACCCTTGCCTCAGCATCCCAGGTTGCTGGGACCACAGGCGCCAGCCACAACATCTGGCTATTTTTAGAGACAAGCTCTTGTTCTGGCTCAGGCTGGTCTCCAACCTGTGAGCTCAGGCAATGGACCTGCCTTGGCCTCCCACGTGCTGAGATTACAGATGTGAGCCATCAGTAGAACTGACAGATAATAAACTGTGTATATTTAAAGTATGCCTTCTGAAAAGTTTTGAAGGCCACAACCTTCCAGAGGTTTTATAAGTTTATTTTAAATTCAGGCCCATGACCTAATTTTGTAGCTAATTTTTATATGTGGTTATGAGGTACGGATTGTGTTTTAAAATATTTATATATGGATGTCCAATTGTTTCTGATGAAAAACACTGTCCTTTATCCTCTTGCCATGTAGTTTTGTCAAAATCAGTAGTCTCTATGTGTTCAGTCTATATCTAAATTTTTATGCTATTTCATTAGTCTATTTATTGATCTTGACACCAATAATACAACACTATCTTCATTACAAGAACTTACTTTATAATTAATTAATCTTGAAATCAGTTAGTTTTAGTCCTATAACTTTGTTCTTTTTTACAGTTGTCCTGGCTATTTTAGGTTCTTTCCATTTCTATGTGACTTCTGGAATCAGTTTAAGTTCTATAAAAATTTCTGCTGAAATTTGGATTAGGATTTTAATAAATCTACATATCAATTTGGGAAGAACTGATAACTTAACAATATCAAGCCTTCTAATGCACGAGCATATTTCTCAATTTATTTAGATCACCTTTAATTTCTCTCAGAAATGTTTTGTAGTTTTCTGTATATAGGTCTTGAACAACTTTTGTCTGATTTACCTATAAATATTTAATATATTTGTACTATTATAAGTGATATTTAAATTTCTGATGGTTTATTGCTATACAGAGATACAACTGAATTTTGTGCATTAATTTTGTATATATTTAGCAAACTTAATTATTTATTAGTTCTAGTAGCTCTTTGGTAGATTATATCAGAGTTTTCTATACAGACAACCATTTTGTCTGTGAATAAAAGAGAGTTTTAATTTTTCCTTTCCAATCTGGATGACCTCTAGTCCTTTTCTTACCTTTCTCTACTGGCTCAAAGCTCTGGTACAATTTTGAATAGAAGAGTAAGAGCAGACATTTTTCTCTCATTCCTGACTTTAGGGGAAAAGCATTTAATTGTCAACCATTATGTATATTTACTGTAGGTTTTCCAAGAATGGCCTTTATTAAATTGAGGAAATTCTCTTCTATTTCTAGTTTTCTAATGGTTTTTATGAGGAATGGATGTTGGATTTTCAAATGCCTTTTATGCATTTATAATATAAACACATGTTTTTTCACTTTTCATTTGTTAATATGACAAATTATACTGATTTTCTTATATTAAACCAACCTTGAATTCCCAGAATAAATTCCACTTAGTCATGATGGTTATCTTTTTTGTATATTGATTCATTTTGCAAAAGTTTTTATGAGAATTTTCTTATTAATGTTCAAGAGGAATATTGATCTATAGTTTTATTGTCTTGGAATGTCATTTGTTGTAAGAGAACATACCTTAGATCACTTGAATCTTATATTATTGAGACTTGTTTCATAGCTTAGAGTATGGTCTACGTTGATAAATGTTCCCTGTACACTTGAGTAGAATATGTATTCTTTTTTTGGGTAGCATATTCTATATATGTCGATTAGATCTAGTTGGTTAATAGTGTTTTTGTTTGCTTGTTTTTTTTTCATGATTAATGAAGTTGTTTTATTATTAAATTGTCTTGTTGTACTGGAAAATTGTTGCTTTACTGTATAAAAATAGCACCAGTAAATGCAGGATATTGTAAAATTAAGATTGCTTTATAGGCTCTTTGTCTGGGATATTTAGACCATTTACATTTAATGTAATCATTGATATGGTTAGATGAATGGTCTGTTATCTTCCCATTTTTCCTTCCCCCCTCCCACTTTCCTCTATTTTTGGCTTCTTTTGGTTTAATTGTGTTTTTCTTATGCCATTTAATCTCTTCTGTTGGTTTATTAGATAATAACTCTCTGATGTTAGTATATATCTTTAAGTTATCAGACTGTCTTTGGATGATATTATACCACTTCAGGTATAGTATGAGAATCTTAAAATAGTTACTTACCTTACTCCTTAAAGTCTCTGTGCTATTCTTGTCATATATTTTATTTTCACATATCTTATAAACTACATACTATGTTGTTCTTTTTGTTTAAGAAATCAATTATTTTTAAAGAGATGAATATTAAAGGTAAAATATTGTATATTTAACCCAGTTACTATTTTCAGGACTCTTCATCCCTGTGTGCAGATCCAGGTTTCCATCTGATATCATTTTCTTTCTGCTTTAAGGACTTTCTTTAAACATTTCTTGTACTATGGGTCTGTTGGTGATATGTCCTTCTACCATTTGCTTGTGTGCAAAGTCTTTATTTCACCTTTATTTTTGAAAGAAAGATACTTATTCAGTATAAAATTCTAAGATGGTAGTTTATTTTCTTCCACTTCTTCACAGATGCAATTCCACAGTCTTCTTGCATAAGTTATTTCCAGTAAGAAATCTGTTATTATTCTTAATCTTTTTCCTTTTTCCCTCTGTTTCTAACTTGACTTCCTCTATCTCAATTCCTGGCTTCATTTAATATTTTCTCTTTATTACTGGTTTGCCACTATTTGATTATAGCTGTGTTTAGTATAGTTTTTTGGATGTTCTTGTGTCTTCTGAGCTTCTTGTAAGTTTTCATCAAATTTAGATTTTTTTCAGTCATTATTTCTCCAGATATTTTTTCTGTCCCAACTTCTCTCTCTTTATATGAATTCTCATTACACATATATTAGGACTTTGAAGTTGTCCCAAGCTGACCTTAAAAAAAAAAATTCTTATCTTTGTTTCAAGTTCACTAATCTTTTCTTCTTCAGTGTCTATCTAACCTGTGCTGTATAATTCCAGTGTATTTTTCATTTCATGCATTGAAAGTTTTTAATCTCTAGGTTTGATTTGGGGCATTTTTATATCTTCTATGTCTTTCCTTAACCTTTTAATGTTTTTAATCACTAATTCTAACTTCTTTTTATACCTCGGTTGGTTTCAACTAATTGATTTATCTCCATCTTAGGCATCATATATTCCCAGTTTTCCGAGTGCCTAGAAATTTTTTACTGGATTCCAAACATTGTGAATTGTACCTAGTTGGGTGCTGAATAATTTTGTATTCCCACAAAGTCTTAGACTTTGTTCTGGGCTTCAGTTAAGTTACTTGGAAAGAGTTTGTTTGTGTTGGTTCTTGCTCTAATGATATGGTAGTGCCTTCTCTAGAGCTATTCATTCTCCATTCCTGAGAAAAACTCATTTTTGTACTCTCCCAACATTTTCTGATTCCAAGATTTTTCAGTCTGGCTGGTGAGAACAAACTGAAAACAGTACTACTCCTAACCTTGTATAAGAACTAGGCATTCTTAATTCTAATCCTTCTGGGAACATCTTTCTACAGCCTGACCTTTAGTAGTTTCCTCATATGCATGGTTTAATCAGTACTCAGCTGAATATTCAAGAGTGAGCCTCTGCTGACCAATAATCTCTCTGTGTGTGTGTTTTTTTCTTTTTTTTTTTTTTTTTTAGTTTTTAGTTTTAGTTTAGTCTCCATGGACTTAAAGATCTGTCTCTTCAACTCAGGAAGTCCTGTCCTGTGTTGTGGCCTAGAAACTCTCTCAAGGAAATAAGCTGGGATAGTCACAGGATTTACTTAGCTTGTTTTCCATCTCTTGGGCATCTCTGTCCTTTGTTACAGTGATGAGCAGAGTCTTGAAAGTTGTTGTTGTATATATTTTGGCCACATTTTTGTTGTTATAGGCAGGAAAGTAACTCTAGTTGCTGTTACTCCATTGGAGCAGAAGTCTCTTTCACTTTTGTTATTGTTTTATTAAATCCATTTATCAGCTTTATTTCCCTCAATCTAATTCATGCCATACAATCTTCTTTAAAAGGTTCAGTTCTCCCGAGTCTCCTCTCTGGGATGTTTCCTATCTCCTTTCCCCATACTTAACTAGAGAACTCTCCTCTTCTCACCATGCCATAATCTCTTGAAGGCTAAAGCTGTGTTTTAGTCTCCTGGGTACCTGACCATCAGCTGCACTCCAGTTTCTGTGCAGAGAAGAGATGAGCACTTGAGATGTGACACCCAACCATCTCTTTTTTGGTAATTGGAACACATTTTTTCCATAGAGATAACATGAAAATTGGGGAGGACAATCCAAGTGGCCTAGTGCTAAGACTCAGAGCCTCCCTCCTTCCTCTTCTTCCCAAGATTTTCTTTGCATGAGTTGATGGGTAAAGGAGAACATAGTTTTGTCCAAGATATGAAAGAAGAAAAAAGAAAGGAGGAGACTGAAGGTCAGGAAACAAAGGTACTGCACCTTGTTCTATCCTGGGATGGGGAAGGGCTTCTGGGCCCTACCCACTGGGTAGGAAAGTGAGTAGGACAGAGGCTGAAGGAGCTATGGAGCAAAACATACTGCAAGATTCTGGCCACACACAGCACTGATGCGGCTCCATGCTGACAACATTAACCTACAAGTGAGCTCATTTGTCTTCTCTACTCCTGCAGCACCCCCTTGATGAGGCTTTATGAAAAGATGGGGAACTGAGTAGCCTTGCTCCTTAGGACACAAGGGACAAACCCAAAGGCCTCATAGGGGTGTGTGAGGACCCAGAGCCCAGGAAATGTGGGTATCTTAGTATTATTATGAACCCATTAGTGGTCAGAGGTTGGCAGAGACAGAAAGATGGGTGAATTCCTGGGCCCATCTAATCTATAACACGGCTGATTCTAGACCCTTGGTGAGGGTGCACCATCTTTAGGCAGGGCAGTAACAGCACCACACACAGCACTCATTAGTGTCTCGTTGGTGGCAAGAGGGTGCAGGGGAGGCTCCTTCTAAGCCAGGCAAAGACAATGAAGCCTAGTGGCTTTCCATGGAGCTGTGATGTCATTTCTGTGGTTTGCAAGGTCAATGAAGGCAAGAAGGAAAATGCTGCCCCATTTGAGTAGACAGATACTGTGTACATTTTCTTAGAAAGTCTGGATTTCCCCATGAGCTTTAAATGAACAGCTTTATCTGCCTCAGCCCCTTGAAGTCAAGGGATGGAGTGGGAGGAAGGTAGAAAAGGGCTGACACTCCATTCTGACCTGCATTCTGAAGGCCAATGAGGCTTTGATTTATCTATTACCAACACACAGGTCCATGGTCTCTCCAGCCCTAGTACTGATAAGGCATTAGAACTTCTCAGTAATGGCCCCAGCAACAGAGACCCCTGATGTCCTTTGTGGCCCCCAGATCCATCCCTGCACCCCAGGCATGGGGGAATGGTCTCCCTTACCTGGGTGTTTTCCATGGCTGCTGGAGTGACAGATTCTTGTGGCTCCTCAACTATTTTTTGGGAATTCTGGCTGAGCTCAGTATCTGTGAGAGAAAGAATAGAATAAGGACAGAAAATATGTGATAAACACCTAGAGAACCACAGGAAACTGGTCAGCATGGTCATGTGTTTTTAACTACAGTATGTCTGAAGAATTTTATTCCGGAGGGCACTACCTTGAGGTGGGAAGAGCAGGGTCTCTGCAGCCCACTCAGTGCCAATACGGAGGGAGGGATCTTAAGTGAGTTCTTCCCCCTACCTCTCTGTGCCCTCCTCTGTGTGATGGAGATAAAAGACAGCTGCTCCCTGGCAGGGTCATGGAAGTGACACCACACATGAGGGGTCGGGGCCCAGGCCTGGTTTGACTTGGCTTGCAGGTGGCCCTTGACCTCTGCCAGTCACTGGGCAATGGGATCCATCGATGGTGGTCCCCCTTTTCCCTTTGAACTTCACAAAAGATTATCAACTTCCTGGAAGTCAGGCTTTGAAGAGATCTTAAGACAGAAGGTGGAAAAGACCACATTCAGCTGCATCAGAGCCACCCAAATGCCATGAGTGGCACATGGGCTGCTTAGTCTTTGTTTCGAAAATACTGGTCTGCCAGTGACCATGATGTGTACATTTCTATTTTCTAACCAGGAAGATCTGGAGCTGAGCACTCTGGTTTTAGCACATTCTGGAAAGTCAATAATCAGAGTAGCCTTCATGTTTTTAGCCTTTACTAACATGTAGAATAGAAAAAGATTTCCCATTCTGCCCCCTCCTCTTCCTCTTCCTCCTCCTCTTTCTCCATCTCCTTTCTCCTCCCTCCTTGCCCCCCCCCTTCTTTTTTCAAATCTTCCATCAGGGAGAGGACACTACTAGCATGCTTGTTCTGCTTTCTGCCTCAACTGGTGCCCACTATGTTTGCCACAACATCTGCTCTCAGCCCTAGGGCCTCAACACAGAGCAACCCTAGGATGTTCTTCCCAGCAGCTGCCCTCCCCAGCAGCTGCCAAGATGCAGCTCAATGTCAGCAGGCTCTAGAGATGGGCTGCTGCCACCACACTGCTCTGCTTTCTTGTTCTCAACCTTCACATCAGACACTGTGAGGCCAGAGGCGGTCCAGGGTCCTCTCTTCCCCCTCTCCCACTGTTGTCCTAGTGCCTGCCATGGCAACAGCTGCTGCAGAGACCTCTCAGCCCCAAATTACCAGATCACTAATGCCTTATACTTATTTCTGGCAAAGATATAGGTGAATGAAATAGAATGAAATTCTAAGAGATAAATTAAATGCCAATGGAGGTGTAAAGGGCATGATTGGAGAGGTACACAATGTTAAAGGTACCAATGAGAGAGAATCACACTCTCAGTTTAACAGGTAGCTCTTTGGGCATGAAGAGAAAATGTCCTGAGAAGAGAAGGGCAAAGCACTTAGAAGCTCTAGTCTAGTAAAGATGCTTTGAGGAAAACAGAAAGTGTCCCATTGCTAGTTCCTGAGTATACTTTGCACTCTGCAGTTTTCCAGGTAGTCTATGCGGGGTTTCCACCATTCTCATGATGATAACAGCAGCATGCTTTTTAGGTTAATTGACTTTGTTGTTGAGATACAACACACATTAAAAAAAGGCACAGCTCAGTGAATTTCTACGTATGTCCACCTCTATTTAAAAATCACTTAGCTGAATATATAAAACATTTCCAGAGCCAGATTCCCTTATCTCCCTATCCAGTCAATATGCAACTCAAAAATAGTCACTATTCTGACTTTTACTATTAATAATTAGCTTTGCTTAGCAGCAAACTTGTGAACAAAGAAACTGGCATGCCAGTAACTCCCTATTCTTAAGGTACACTTTATTTTTTAAAAAAGATAGAATATAATTGTCTTAACACAATAACTAAGAAAATGACATGAAGGCTATGTTAACCAGTTTGATGAAAATATTTTAAATTGTATATAGAAACAGCACACTGTACCCCATGATTGTATCAATGTACACAGCTATGATTTAATAAGAAAAAAAGATACTTCTCTCCTATTTCAAGGTTTATATTTGAAGAACTACAAAAAATACAACTAAAAGAAAAGCAGAGATTTATTTATAATTAGGAGAAGATTACTAAAATCCAAAAAGTGTTAAACCTTGGGTCAGACTTGTGATGAACTAATAACCCTGATAACTCACCTGTCTGACAGTCTGATGTTCACAAGACAGTCACCTACTGCAATGACTAATTGCCTTGGCCACACTGCCCTGAGGAGCTGCAGTCTGTTACTAAGCAGCTGCTATGCTTGTCCCTAGAGATGGCTGCATTTCAGAACTGGGCAAGGTGATGCTGTATCTCTCTTTCTGGTGTCTCTGGCATTTTGTGATGTTTAATTAGTTACTGTTCATGGTGTTCCCTGAGATCCTGAAATGTGAGATCCTATCCCACGGAAGACAGAGGCAATGATGTTAGGTAACATACAACTAAGAAGACACTGAGGCTGTGACCTTGTTAGAAGTCGTGAACTGACCATTTACTCTAGTGGGAGTGAAGGCACAATTTTCCAGGACTTCCTCTGTAGGTGAGACTACTTATCTGAAGTGGATTTACCACAAAGCTAACAAAGCAAGAGGTTCAGTTCCCTCCCTAGCACGGGCCCTCCATGCACAGCGTCTCGTTTACATTCATAATTTTTCATTGTTATTCTTAAAGAAGCCTCCAAATTGTATAGACTTTAGGATCTACCCTGCTCCTTATCTAACAGGAATAATAATAACACATAGGGAATGTGAAATAATACTTGTTGAAAGTTTTAGGAATACATATTAATCTATATATAATCTTATGTTTTTTACATTTATTTTAAATATCCATCAAAAATCTCAATAACACTCTTTGTGGGTAATTAAATAAACTGATTATAAAGAATAAATATGGAGGAACAGTTATTAAACAAAGTTTGAAGAAAGAAGAACACAGAGTGGGCTAAATTCCCTACTGAATTTTGAGACATATTATAAAGCCATATTTTTTAAAACAGTAGGTTATTGGGATAAGACTAGAATGTAATAAAACTCAGACAGTTATAAAATGTTAATACGTTAAAGGTGACATTTCAAATTGCTATAAAAAATAAACTATTTGATAATGTTGCTAATCATGTGAGAAAAAATAAGTTTGGCTCTTATTTCGTATTACACACAAAAATCACTTGCAGGCCAGAAGCAGGGGCTCACACCTATAATTCTAACACTCTCAGAGGCTAGGGTGGGTGGATCACTTGAAGGTAAGGAGTTCAAAACAAGCTTGAGAAACAGCAAGAACCCAATCTCTACAAAGAAATAGAAAACTTAGCTGGTTGTGGTGGTACATGCCTGTAGTCCCAGCTACTTGGGAGTCTGAGGCAAGAGGATCATGTGAGCCCAGAAGTTTGAGGTTGTGGAGAGCTATGATGATATGACTGCATTCTAGCCTGGGTGACCAAGAGAGACTCAATGTCCAAGAAAAAAAAAAAAGCATTTGAGGATAGATTATAGCCTGAAGGATTTAAGGTTTAAATTTGAAGAACTACAAAAAACACATACTTTGGCATCTATCTGGAAGAAAAAAAGTCATTTTACCATAAGCACATTTGAACTAAAATGTTTATCACAGCTTAATTCACAATCACCAAGATACAGAATCAACCCAAGTGCCAAACAACTCAAGAATGGATTTGAATGGATTAATTAACTATAGTGTGTGTACACCACGGAGTACTACTCGGCTATAAAGAAAAATAGAGACTTTAAGTCTTTTGTATTAACCTGGATGGAGTTGAGGAAGATTCTCCTTAGTAAAGTATCACAAGAATGGAAAATTAAGTATCCAATGTACTCAATATCAATGTGAAGCCAGTAAATGAACAAGTACACACCCACTCAAGAGAAAAACATAATTACATTCAAGTGGGGGAAGAGAGAAAGAGGGAAGAGAGAGGGGGAGTGGGGAGAAGATGGGTGATTGTTAAGCTCTCACCTTATGCCACACCTCCTGGGTGAAGAGCTCAACTACCACCTGTACTTTACTTAGCAAATGCAAACAATGTAACCTAATTTTTTGTACCCACATATGAATCTGAAATTTAAAAAAAAATCAAAAAGAGACAAAAATAAAAAGCCTACTTTAAAATTACTACAAGAAAATATAGCAAATATCTCTATGATACTGTAGGTGTGGAGGCCCTTCCTTAAAAATGCAGAAGGTAGAATTCATAAAAGAAAAATGGACATATTTGACTACACCGAAATTTTGAAGTTCAGTCAAAAGTACCCTAAAAGTGGCTGGGTTTGGTGGCCCATGCCTGTAATCCTCAAGCTTAGGGAGGACAAGGCAGGAGGATCCTTTGAGCTCATCAGTTTGAGACCAGCCTGAGCAAGGGTGAGACACTGCCTTTACTAAAAATGGAAAAATTAGCTGGGGTATTGTGGTGGGCACCTGTCATCCCAGCTACTTGGGAGGCTGAGGCAGGAGGATCACTTGAACTCAGGAGTCTGAGTTTGCTGTGAGCTAGGCTGACACAATGGCATGCTAGCCTGGGGCAGGGAAGTGAAATTGTCTCAAAAAAAAAAAAAAAGGGTACCATAAAAGTGTTTTAAAAAAATAAGTAGATACATGAAGAAAATATCTGCAACTCAGATAACAGACCAATGATGGAATTCCAAGAAGCAGAAACAACCCAAGAGACAAAGGAAATAAATGGATAAGAAGTATAAGTGACCAATAAACATAGGAAAATTGTTTAACCTCAACAGTATTTGGAATAAAATTAAAACAATGGTATCTCTTTATTATACTGTCCAGTATTTATTATACTGGACAAAGTTAAAAATTCAGACACCACTCAGTACTGGAGAAACAGGAAAGGCTCAGGAGCCTTACACTGGTACAGCCATGCTTGGTGGCAGTGATCTCCAAGCCTGCCCAGAACAATTCTGGGAATATAGCCTGTAGAAACTCTTGCGGGGGGTCCAGGGAGACATGTACAAGGATGCTTATTGCAGCCCTGTTTGCAACAACACAATAACAGAAATGA